ATTGTAACTTAACAGATGATGGTTATCTTTTTCATAACATACTGCACAGGTCGATGACTAGAAGTGGGCTAAAGCTAATTAAAGTTAAAGTTAATTAAAAGGAGTCTAACATAAATGTAAATGCTGTAATTTGATTATTTTAATAAACCATGTAACTTGGATGGATTAGATGGTGGCGTGACCACAGTGCAGACGTCTGATGTCGCTCACAGTGGTCCAAGGGATCGCTCGGGGAGTTTGTGTGTTCGCTCAGACACATTAAAAATTAGAGGGAACATTGATTCTGAATATCCCCTTTTTAACTGTAACAGAATACAGTTACTCATATTTTGTATTTTAAATACGTAACATGTATTCCGTTACTCCCTAAATAATGCATTCACTGACACACACTGTGACTGGAAGCTTCAGCCCTGGGCCGGTTCTAGACAGGCATATATGTGAGGGGGCAGACAGAAATAAAGGGGGCACCTAGTGGCAATGGAGGCGAGAAAGGTGTGGGGGTTGAGTGGGCTGGTCTGGTCTGGATTGGGGCTACCACAAACAAACGATGAGAAAATGATGTGCCGGGAGTTCGCTGTTCAAGCTGGCTCTAGAGAGCTTCGAACCCCTGGTCAGCTATCAAGCTGGTGGGAAACAGGCATCTCCGAAAACAGAGGAGCACTTTTGCAAATATGTGATGTCTTGATAAACCGAGCAGATATTTGAAGTGATCTGCTGCTACATTCTCTCCTAAAATATCTGAAAACTATTTTGTGACCAAGAAAGAGTAATAAGAGTAATATTAAAACTAAGTAGCTGCCACCATTGCAGGAAACTGGAATTGGCTGAGCTGCATTGTGAATTCTGGGATAGGTTGGGCCACGAAGGATACACCAGACCCACCTTCAAATCTGAGGATAAGGAGGATGCATTTGTTGGAGTCTTTGAATTTGGCCAACCTTCGTCACATCACTGTAATGTAATTGACCTTCAAATGCGGCCTCCGAAGGATGTGGCTAAATTTGGACACAGCTACGATACTGGAGGCTGCTTCTTCTTCTTCTTCTTTGGCATTTAACAGCAGCTGGCATCCTCGTACATGCATTGCTGACATCTTCTGTTTCACACTCTTAAATCCTACTTCCTATTCCTGTCTTTCGGGATCTTAGCTTCAAACGACGCACCAAACTCAAATTAGTCGTCGACGTAATTGTGACTAGTAGACTAATCGTGGCAGCCCTACTCAGGATAACTGTTTCTGTCATGTAATTGGATTGCAATTTGTCAGGCCTCTACCCTAAGACCTGACCAACTTGGGTGTCCCACCTAAAGGCTAAGCTTCTGCGGGTCTAGCTTTTATGGTCACTAAGGCACGCAAACCCCCTGACCACGTTAAGATAGGAATCCCTCAGGGGGAAAACAGAAAAGTGAAAACACCAAAAAATCAAATAAAATATTCTTCATCAGATTCTAACAACTAAAAACACGGCATTTACCTTAATTGGATAGCCTATATCAAATATATTCATACCAACAATAAAACTTCTCACTATTGCCAATATGAACAAAACTAAAAATGGTAGGCCCAGTTATAAAAAGAAAAGGAGGAAAGGAGAATTTGCAAAGTCTTGGAAAATAACACTGAAAAATACAAATAGAGAATAAAATAAAATATCCATCCAGATCTTTACAATCAACAACATAAAATCAAACTTAATTGGATGGCCTTATTCAAATAAATGTGCAAAATTAAATAAGACCAAGCAACACACTCAGACAAAAACTGGTTCATCCAAAAGACAAAACTCCTAAACACGAACTTAACAATGTAGTGTATGCTGTACAGTGTAGCGAGGAATGCCCAGACCTCTACAATGAAGAGACCAAACAGGGCCAAACAGGGGTTGGGGTTACCTAGCATCTCATTTGTGCCTTTTCCAGCGGATTATTAAGCTACTGCAGTAAATCTTGCCCATATTCAGTTTGTGGGTAATCTATTATTTTCTTTCTCAACTTCTACATTTTGACTTAAGGGGGCAGGACGTTT